GTAAGAGCTTATTGGAGAAAGCTAGTACAAATCAACAAAGGCTGAGAGACGCCCTAACGGGAAAATGGCTAAGAGTGGCAATGAAGAGGCATTTAATAAAATAAGAAACACAGATAAGTGGCCAATAAGTGTCCAAAGTTATCATTCTCATTAGTAACCCAACAAACGGAAGAAAACATTACAAGAATGCGTTTTTCATAGAATGGGCTGGGAAAAAAGTAAAAGAAGAATATTTTTTTCATTGAGAAATTAAAAGCCAGTGTTGGTATGGGTATGAGAAAAATGACTCGTGTTCTCAATGGGAGGGATCGTAAAAGGAACATCTAAGGAGTGGTTCAATAATATGTAGCAAACGCCCTCATAAGATATATACTCTCCATATCATTCCACCTCCAGGAATGTTTTTCTTAAGAAACAAGTATGTAAGACCACAAAGATACATGCACAGGATTACTCACTGCAGTGGTTTTTATAGCAGCAAAAAGAATCCAAACCCCTTAAATAATTGGTAAAATACATTATAATATATCCATGCAACCATTTAAAATGATGCTGTGGAGGGGTGCCTGGGTGGCTCAGTTGGTTGAGCGTCCAAATTCAGCTCAGGTCATGACCTCACGGTCTGTGAGTTCAAGCCCCGCATCGGGCTCTGTGCTGATGGCTCAGAGCCTGCAGCCTGCTTTGGATTCTGTGTCTCCCTCTCTTTTCCCCTTCCCTGCTCATGCTCTGTCTCTGTCTCTCTCTCTCAAAACTAAATAAGCATTAAAAAAAAAGTTAAGGGGCGCCTGGGTGGCGCAGTCGGTTAAGCGTCCGACTTCAGCCAGGTCACGATCTCACGGTCCGTGAGTTCGAGCCCCACGTCAGGCTCTGGGCTGATGGCTCGGAGCCTGGAGCCTGTTTCCGATTCTGTGTCTCCCTCTCTCTCTGCCCCTCCCCCGTTCATGCTCTGTCTCTCTCTGTCCAAAAAATAAATAAACGTTGAAAAAAAAATTAAAAAAATAAAAAAATAAAAAAAAAGTTAATAAAAAATAAAAAAATAAAATGATGCTGTGGATTATACTTCTATATTTATTTGGAAGGATGTTCAGCATGTATGTGTTGGAAAAGCAGTTTAAAGAGCCTTATGTATTATGCTAAGTGAAATAAGTCATACAGAGAAAGACAGACACCATATGTTTTCACTCTTATGTGGATCCTGAGAAACTTAACAGAAGACCATGGGGGAGGGGAAGGGAAAAAAAAAAAGGTTAGAGAGGGAGGGAGCCAAGACATAAGAGACTCTTAAAAACTGAGAATAAACTGAGGGTTGATGGGGGGCAGGAGGGCGGGGAGGGTGGGTGATGGGCATGGAGGAGGGCACCTTGTTGGGATGAGCACTGGGTGTTGTATGGAAACCAATTTAACAATAAATTTCATATTAAAAAGAGAAAGAGCCTTATGTATAACATGAGTCAAATTTGCTTTAAAAGGACATATGTATTTACATGGGAAAGAGTCTAGAACCAATGTTACAGTGGTTGTCTCTGGGTGGAAAGATCTGGATTATTTTAATTATATTTCTGGTTGTGGTTTATCTGCATTGTATTATTTAATTTTTCTAGCATCATTATGTATTAAGAGAGGCGTTGTTGTGTTTTTTTAATCTCCTATTTTGGTGCGGGGTGGGGCTGGGGGCGGGGAAGGAGTACACATAAAAAACCCTAACTGCAAAGGTGAAAGGTGTTTACCAGGCCCAGCTCTTGTGAACTGTGGGATCATCGCCTGCAAACGGAAAAGGCAGTAATTAGACGGAATGTCAAGGGATGAGCCATTCAGGGAAGCAGAATCCCTTTGGAAGAATCCCGGGTGTTTACCAAGCACCGGGACCCCGAATGCCCACAAAGACACCCGGAATCCGCAAAGGGCCCCACGCTATGGCTAGAAAAGTGGTTTACCTTCCGCCCCCACCAGCTGGCACGTAAGGGGTACTGGGCGTGCGCCCGGCTCCGCACTTGACCGTGTTCTCCCATCTGACCCCAATGATAACCCCGGGAGATGTACGGTGCCCGTTTGACAGTGGGGTGGCTAGCCGGTGCCAGAGCCTGGACTTGAACCCAGTCTTCCTGATCCCAAAGCCCACCTCTCTCTGCACTCCCCCTCGCCCCCTCCTCCTAGCCCCGGGGAGTGATTCTCTGATGTGTGCACAGAGCCACTAAAGCCGGGGACTAAGGGGCGCTTTCCCCAACGACAGGCAAGGTCCGACATCCCTTCCAGACCCCTTTCCCGGTTAGCTGTGGGCCCAGACGGTGCTGCTGGGCACCTGGCCTTGTACGTGGTGTTGGTTTTGCTGCAGCTCTGAGGGGTCTGGGTCTTGACCGATAGCGCCCCCGCGCGTTCCCATGGCAACCTGGACGCGTCCCAGCAACGTCGCCAGCGAGCCACAGTCCAGCGAGGGGGGAGGGGGTGTGTGCGCAAGGTCACAGTCAGGCACTGAAGGCCGTGGGAGGGGAGCCTGGCACGGGCCTCCCGCAGGGCACTTGGGACTTTTGTAGCCCGTGTTTGGCGTCGCTGCGTTTTCGCAGAGCAGCGAGCCTGGCAGGACCCCGTGCCCACAGCCCCCAGAGCCCCTCCCCATCTGCTCTGCCCGCTCCAGGCCCGCCGGAAACAATGGCAGGGCCAGGAGCCAGCCGAGGGGAACTGGGGGCGCGGGGCTGCGCGGGTTACACCGCCCCCGAGCTCCTGGGGGCGCTGTTCGCACAGACTAAGACGTGGACGTCGCCTGGGAGTCTTGCGCCACAGAGGCGTGGACTCCCTGTGACGGGCCCACGGGAAGCTGCACCGAGGACGGTCTGTCGGGGACCCAGACAGCAGCTCCTTTACCCAGAGGACACTTTTTCAGCGAACTCAACTGTGCCAAACACAACCGAGTAAGGGATGGGAAGCACAAAAATCCGAGCTGGAAATGTGGGTTTGAAGCCAGCGTTTGAAAATCACTCGCTCTCAGGTGAAACCAGGCCCTGGGTCAGAGCAACTTGCTCGGCTCGGGCGCATCTCCCGTGTGCTAGAGAAAGGCACCGTGGCCTGGGCGGCTTGTAAACCACGGAAATTTCTTTCGCGCGGATGTCGAGGCTGTCCTCGGAGACGGGGGTGCCGGTCGGCTCAGGTTGCCCTTCCGCTGCGGGCCTTTCTCGTGTTGTCAGGTGGCTCCGGTGCTGCTGGGGGGAGGGGGGTGGTGGGGCTCTTTGGGGTCCCTTTGGGGAGATCGCTAACCCCTTCGTGAGGGCTCTACCCACACGACCCAGTCACTTCCCAAAGGCCCACGACCTGCCAGTGGGGCGCCTCACCTTGGAGTCTGTCCGTTTGTCGCTGTGCTCTGTGACGCCATCGGAGTTCAGGCCACCACTCCTTCCCGTGGGTCTTGCTGCTCCCTGCTGTGCTCTCTTCTCCTCGTGTCACCAGAGAGCACATTGGACCGTGTCACTGCCCTAGTCACACGGTTCAGTGACTTCCGGTGCAGCCCTTGATGAGACCAGACACGACCAGGCCCGTGCCGCCCTCACCGCCCTCCTGTCTCTGCCATCCTTCTTTCCACAAACGCCCAGCAACCCCCACATCATCCTCACCCGCCTCCAAACATCTGGAACCACCCCGAGACTGTCTTGAGTACGTGCCCTGGTGCCCTGGGCGTGCTATGTCTGGAAAGCTCTGCCCCACCTCTTTGCCTGGCCCACTCCTTCCTGTCCATTTTTCAAGACAGGATTTGGACATCCTTTCCCACCAGAAGCCACCTGGATCTCTCAGTGGGCCCGTTTACCTCTTATGTCCTCCAGCAGAACCATCGCTTGTATTCTTGGTATCCCCGAGCCCGTGAAGTTGGGGTCGGGAATGTTTTATTCGCGGAGGTAGAACAGGCACTCGGGAGTAATGTAATAAATTAACAAAATGCCAGTGGATGGTCCGACATCAAGAACTCAGAAAGCACAGCCATCTGAGGCCACCGCGTATGAGACCACGACCCCTGGCCACTTAGTTCCATGCCTGCATCGGAGTCCAGAACAGTCTATTCTGACACAGAGAAGGAGAAACCAGCAGGTTCTCTGTGGAGTTCCAATTTTAACAGGATCGGTTCCAGTCCTCTGCTCCCGTCAGTCTGGCCTCCTTGAACGAGCAACTAGGAGGTTCCCTCCCCGGGCACCTGCCCCACCCCCCTGCTCCGCCCCCTCCCCACCGTTGAGGTCTCCATGAGACCTTCCCAGACTGCACTATTACAGACCTCAACTCCTGGTCCCTCAGGCCCCAGCACGCGATCCGCTTCTGTGCTCCATTCTCCTCCACAGCAGGTACCGCTCTCCAAGCTGCCGCTTGTTTTGCTTGTCTTGTTTCTTGTCTGCCGGCCGGTCGACTGCAAGCCCCATGAGGGGCAGGGTTGATGGCTTTTTTCTCGTTTTGTTCGGGGCTGCGCCCGCAGCACACCCCGTGTCAGGGGCACAGCTGGATAACTCTCTGCTGAATGCACATAGATAAGACTGAAGCACATCACTGAGGGTGGACACACAGGACACTGTGATGCAAATTGTGGAACGACATTCAGGAAGCGGCAAGCCCGGAAGCTTTGAAGCTGTGCTTGGCAGCTGGCCTGGTGGTAACAGAGAGCTCGGCGAAGACAGAAATACCCCATCCTAGTTTTCTCTGTCTTCTCTGTCGGTGAAAATGATCTAAAAACTGAGAGGGAAGAAAGACGTATGTAATGAGATCAATTAGCTCCGAGATATTCATGAGAGAAGACAGACCCCTTTCTTCAACTTCTCTCCATCACTTCAAGCCTCCTCTTACCCCTCCTTCCAGCTGGCAGGAAATCCAGTCTCCATGATTTTGTGGAAGACTCTTCCCTACAAGGTTATTCAAGAGTCCTTGGGAGGGAGGGGCGGGGGGCACTCAAAAGTGCCCACATGCCGCTCTGCGTCATCTCCTTGCCCTGACCCAGGCCATGCATAAGAGGGCATGGGCCCCCCCAAGTAACATTTCCACTTTCTCTCCCAGACCTGGCCGGAGAGACCCATGTCAAGTCCTGGTTAACTTGAAGCGTGTGGTTCAAGAAAGGAGAGGAAACCGGCAGCTGGCGCTGAAGGCTTTCCAGGAGATCAGATGGGTCCAAGGGAGGATGTCCCAGGGAAGTAGAGCGAGGCTCGTTGGAGGCATGGAGATAATTAGGAATCTTTGAGCAAATATGGGGAATGGTAAGAGACAAAAGGACCACGGATACTCAACTTGGGGGTGGGAGACACAGAACAAGGTGGAAACCAGAAACTACAGCCCAATGAACATGACCTTGAGTACTAACAAATGTCTAGGTTAGGTTAACAAACTGATGGCATGTTATTCAGCTTATGTTTGCCATGCACATTATGGAGAAGAATGAATAATTCTGGGTTGTTAACTTGTGTCCAATTAACCTCATACCTCTCTACATTTCTTGATAGATTGAGTTGCAAGATAAAAGAGTACCTTCATTTTGGCAAGATGATTTATGAGTATTCTTGATACTTACCTCTGCAGACAAGTTGGGGGGGATATTGGCCAGAGGAGTCCACACCACGTACATTGCACACTTACTGTGCTCTGCATTGAAATCACAAAAATGAATAAAACATGGTCCTTGTCTTGGAGAAACAGCCTGGTGAGTGAGACAGCTATGCAAAGAAGTAATTATGATACACTTTGATAAATGCTATAATTCAGTCATTTACAAAGTGCTGTATGTGATGGGACAAGCAGGTGACTTTGTAGCTGGTTGATGAACATTAATTATTCAAGATCAAGGTGGAAGGAGGTCTCTTCTACCGCACCACAAAGAGGTATATCAATTCTGTGTCGTCCAAACTCTTTTTAAAAACTTACATGGAGGGGCGCCTGGGTGGCACAGTCGGTTAAGCGTCCGACTTCAGCCAGGTCACGATCTCGCGGTCCGTGAGTTCGAGCCCCGCGTCGGGCTCTGGGCTGATGGCTCAGAGCCTGGAGCCTGTTTCCGATTCTGTGTCTCCCTCTCTCTCTGCCCCTCCCCCGTTCATGCTCTGTCTCTCTCTGTCCCCAAAATAAATAAACGTTGAAAAAAAAATTAAAAAAAAAAAAAACTTACATGGAGACATCAAGGTCACGTTGATCAAATTTGCCAATGACGTCAACTTGCGGAGGAGAGCGAAAACATTGGCTATGGGGCAGGATTCAGAATAACCTCCCAAATCTAGAAGAGTGTGTCCACACTCACAGGTAAAATCGAAAAAGAAAAAATACAAAGTCTTGACTTCTATTCAGTTCTGGAAAGGTTCGAGAGGGTTTGGATGTCTTCAAGGTCAATGTAAGCCAATCTTACTAAAAGCTGAACAAGCAATGTGGGCGCTTGTTCAAACTGCAATAACAGGAGTCTGATGTCCGGAACGAAGAAGGCATTCGTTCCACGTCTATTCCATACTGGTTAGACCACTTCTGGGATATGGGACTTTGTTAATTAAAGGCACTCAACCAGGGTGGCAAAAAATCCACAAAAAATGAGAATTATTGGGAGACGTAAGGATCTAGGTCTTTCTCCATCCCGGCAGCACAGCCGAAGCCTCAGACGAGACCCATCCTTTGGTGCAGTCCCTGTCTGTCCTCAGAATGAAGGAGACTGTGCGGATGGGAGCCCTTGCCCCGTGCATTCATGAGACCTAGACATAGTTTTAACTCTGTACTAAGGGGGCCGTACCCGCTCTGATGGTGTGACCCAGCAGCTCCTTTTCTTCCCCTTACCGGGAGGAATGGCGGACTTCCTTTTGCTCCAGTCTCTTGGGTATTCTGGGCTTTCCCCATACCCGTGTCCTTAACTTCAGCTGGTACCTCATGCCGGCTTTCTGCCCCCACCGTCTAGCCCCCCACTTCTGGAGGTCAGGCCGGTAACATTGCAGTTGGAGGCTCTTGAATAAGGTGGTCTTGTGTTCACTCTGTTTTCGCACGCCTGTCCTTCCCATCCTGCCCCAGTCTCTGCTTCTCGGATCTCGATGGCTGTTGGACCTGGGTGTGCCAAGCCCCCAGTTGATCTTAAATGTTAGCGTCACTCCTGCCTCATACCTGCTCTAAACTGTACCCCGAACACTTGCAAGCGTGCATTCGTGTATACACACACACATCCGCACACATACAGACGCAAGTACACTCCTATTCACAAGCCGCCGGCTCCCTTGCCCTGGGCTATCCTCCCAACCCCTGAGTTCAGAGGTCTTTGATTTATTGTGCCAAGGGGTGAACCAGGGCAGATGGGTAAAAACACTTCTGTGGCAGATTCCAGCTCAGTAAGAGAAACAATGTCGTGAATACTCTGGCTTAGGGATACTGTGACAGGGATTTCTAAATTTATGGGGAGTTAAACCAGGCCAGTGTCCCCCAAGTCTGGCTATCCACCAGCTGACTTAAGTGCAGGTTCCAAGGCCGACTCCAGACGTACTATGTGAGAATTCAGAGTGGGAAGTAGGGCTCTGTATTCTCAGCAAGTAAGCCATTTGATGGCAGCTGGGCCTGAGAGTGGCATTGGGGTTAGATTATTTTCTCTGAAGCGAAGATCACATTTTTGCTTTTTCATAATGATGATTCTGGGAAACAAAAGAACTCTTCAAAATGTTAAGGAGTTTAAAAGGTTAAGTTTCAGAGTTCTTCATTTCTTAACACTGCTGGCAACATCAGGATTGCTGTTCATGTTCAAGGATGCTGTTGCTGCTGGGGATTACTTCCTTCTTGTATGGCAGCTAAAAGGTCAAGTGCATGAGTACCAGGCCTTTCCAAAGTCTGCATTCCCAGAGTGTTTCAGGAAGAATTCCTTAGGGCACTGTCATGGCCTTGCCTTGGGAGCACAGCCATAGCCATGGCCTGCCTCTGTCAATGCTGGGAACAGTCCTGAACATCTATACGTCCCTCTTGAACCGGTGAGCCCTATAGGTGAATCCACAATGTCAGGGCCAGGAGTCAGCACATGAAAAATGGCTGTTCTGACTAATTGTGCAGGAGATCAGACCCCACCTCCATTGAGAAGTCAACCCATCCCCCTCTGTCTCACAGACTGACCTCTATTCTTCTTCTCCTTAACGAAAAAGGAATTTTGAACTCCCATCATTCAGTACCTGAGATTAACATCTCTCTATACTTTTAAATATATATATATCACATATATAAATATATATAATGCATTTCTTCCATCTATCATCTATCTATCTATCTGTCTATCCATCTATCTATCTACTTATCTACCTATAATGCCTGAAATTTATCTGGCCAATTCCTAACTCTTATATCAGGGACATACGCTCTCTCTTTTTCAGTATATCACCTTGCCACAAATAAAATTTCCCCAATATCCAAAAAGAGGCTAATAATATTATAGTCACAGTAGAGCCATTTTACTTCTTAGCATTACATTTCATCCCACCATACACTGAGATTCAAATACATATATGCGAATAAACTAGAACCCGTTTTAGTAACGCTGGATTAAAAGGGACTTTTTATTGAACAAGTCCCAAACAGTTGCAGTAATAGCTACAATAACCTACGTGCTGGGGACGGGGAGAGAGAGGACAAGTGGAGGAGGGAGCATCCAAGGGCTTAGATGTCCCTGGAGCTCTTCATAGGAATGAATGTGCATTCAGAAGTCAGAAATCCCACAACAGCTGTTCAGTGCCTGGATGTCCATGAAATCCACCCACCTCAAATCCGAGGCCTCCGTGGGATTTATGCACAAATTTGGAGAATAAAAACGGGTTTTCTTACATCAAAACAACGCACCAAGGGAGCCAGAGGCTCTTTGGCGCTCCTGAGGCAGCGAGAGCCCGTGCAGGGTCCTGCTCGTCCTGCCGTCTGCAGGGTGGTGCCCCTCCCCCTCTGACCCGACCAGGAGCTTGGCCATCCCTCTGGGGCCCCTTTGTCTGTCTCAGAGAGCATCAGAAAGCGTGGCACACGGGACAGGTCAGTGCTGCATTCTGTCAGAGACATCACTGATAGAGGAGGAGTCAAGAGCAGAAACACTGTCCTCGCTGGTCTTTGAGGCCCTTTGGCCAGCTTTGACAAACACTTCCTCAGCCCGGGGAGTGGCCAGCCGCACAAGGACCATATATCACCCTTGCTCTCGGGCGAGCCACGTCTATGTTCGTCATACCGGCCGGTCTGTGCGTCAGATTGCATATCAGACGCGCAATGAGAGTTTGGCTCCTCATCCCTTCCTAGGTGCAAATCAAACTTGGGGATTTGGAGGCAAGCTCCGGGAGGGGGTGTGTGGGAGGGGCCGGCCGTACAGGTAGCTGGTGCCTGGGAGCTTCCTCAGAGAAGTCCCTTTGCCCTAAAATATCTTTTTCAACAGGAGGCCATGGTATCCGAGTTCCCACCATTACAGTTACTTTTTAGTTAAACTACTTCATGAAGCCACCGCTTAATGGAAGGAGGAAGGAACAATCTAATGATTCCACGAGTGGTTGTCTAGTCTCAGTTGGTTTACAAGATTAGTTGCGTAGATCTAGAAGAAACCAGGAACAGGTAAGTCAGGCCCGTGGGTGTGGCTTGGGGGACCTCTGCCCCTGCACTTGTGAAGGAGGGCTTTGAGCAACCAGCAGGGGGCGGGGGGAGGGGTGGAGTAGAAGTAGGGGGAGAGGGGAGGAGTAGAAGAGGTCACAATAGGCTAGGGATCTGGAGAGTAAATAATCGTCCCAACAGAGGTGATGTCACAGTGGACTCTACATGCCATTTCTATGTGTTACAATGAAGGGGAGGAAATGCGAGGAGAATCGATCGAAAAGCAGCACAGAATCATTCGGGAAAACAACTTTTTTTTCCCCTCACCAGAAATCGTTTGTTGATTGTTGTGCTCAGGCTCTGGACAAAAGAGAGCCGCCGATTCAATCTCTGCCTCCTTCACAGCTTGCCAATCAAAGAGAGGCACAGAAGTAGGACACAGAGAGCAGGAAGAAACCTCTAAACGTGAATGGCGGTGAGATATTTATAGCGTGTGGAGCTCTGGAATGCACAGCTGCAACCCGCAGGGAAATGAGCAGTGGGCAAACCTATCTGTCAATCCAGCCTGCACTCGGTCCCTCGCGTTCTGATGCGCACCGGCCGGGTGCCCAGCCCTGCTCGGGGACTCTTGAGGTGTGTAAACATGGGAGAAATCATGGTCCTCAGTCTCAAGGAGGTCACCATGAGAGGAGAGCTAAGCCGGACACGTGATTGAGTGGTGACAGCACACAAGTGGAGTCAGGCAGGCCGTCATCCGATTTCAATTTCACGGTGCCACTCTGAGCCATTGTCTCCTTTTCTGTAACAAGAGGTGATAGTATGCACCACCCAGGGTTGTGTAAACATTTAAGGAGCTAACAAAAAGTCCTAATGCAACGACTGATCTCATAAATGTTAGTTTTCCTCCTTTCTTCCACAAATTACTCTTAATGCGAAGCAGGAAGTGATGTGACACAAAAATGCTCCGAGTTCGGAGAATGGAGGTGCAATTATTGGCAGCTGGGGAGCTCCGAGAAGAAGTTCAGGGCAGGGGTGGCATTTGACCCTGGCTTTGAAGATGGATGGATTTAAGTATGTAGAAACAGGGGATGAGGAATTCCAGACAGGGAACAACATGGACAAAGTCCAGGGGCAGGTGAATGCTGGAGAGGTAGATAATGTTGGGAGAAAATCAGGGGTCATGTCATTTAGGACTTTGATGCTAGGCTAAGGTGAAGCCTCAGTTATAATCAAGGGTATTTGAGCTGGAAGGTGAGATTGGTCAGAACTGTTTTTTATAAATATAAATCTCACAGCTGGGTTTCTTTTCTTTCTTTTTTTTTTTTTTTTAATTTTATTTATTTTGAGAGGGGTAGGGGATGGGAGGGAGGGCAGAAAGAGAGAAAGAGAAAATCCCAGGCAGGCTCTGTGCCGTCAGCAGGGAGCCCAACGTGGGATTCCATCCCATGAACCGTGAGATCATGACCTGAGCCGAAATCAAGAGTCAGATGCCCAACTAACTGAGCCACGCTGGCATCCCTGGATTTCTTTTCAGTGGAAGAGGAACTCTTATCAATTCCGGAGGCCAGAAGGTATGACGATAGGTAATGACGGTCTCAACTGTGGAGGTGAAATGGAATGAGAGGTAGCCGGGAGATTCAATAAGCAGGATGTATGTGTGAAGAGTGTAGAGGAACTCGGTCTATGGGTATTTGTAACCTCCGTGACTGCAGGGATGGTAGCCCCTTTAACAGAAACAGGAAAGATGAAGACAGCAGAGAAGATATGGACGTCAAGCTGGTGGAGTCTATTCCGGACTATTCACATTTTTCAGAGGAAAGAAACTTCAGGCCACTGGGATACTGAACCGGAGCACAGAAGAGAGGTCTCAGGTAGAAAGATCTGCCTGTGAGTCACCAACGTCAAGGTTGATGGAGATGATGAAGGGAAGAGGAGAGGGTGGAGGAGAGCTCTGGGGATGTGGACATTGTGGGGACAGGGGAAGAGGAGGTGAGAGATGAGGAAGGCATATCGGAGAAGGACAGGAAGCTGCAGCCAATGAAAGGAGACCTCCTAATTCAAAAAGATACATGTACCCCCATGTTTACTGCAGCATTAATTACAATAACCAAGATATGGAAGCAGCCCAAGTGTCCACTTGTAGATGCGTGAATAAAGGAGAGGTGGTACGTATATACAATGGAATATTACGTAGCCCTAAAAAAGGATGAGATCTTGCTATTTACAACAACATGGATAGTCCTAGAGGGTATTATGCTACGTGAAAGAAATCAGACATAGAAAGAGAAATACCAAAGAAAACAAATGCAAAACAAAACCCAGAAACCGACCTGCAGATATGGAGAACAAACTGACTGATGGTTGCCAGAGAGGAGGGGGTGGGGGGAGCGGCAAAACGGGCAAAGGGGAGCAGGAGGGACGGGCTTCCGGTTATGGGGTGAGTAAGTTACAGGGATGAAAGACACATCATAGGGAATATAGTCTATGATATCGTCGTTGTGCTGCATGGCGACGGACAGCAGCTACACTTGTGGTGAGCACAAAATCATGCATAGAGTTGTAGTATCACTACGTCGTACGCCTGAAATGAATGTAGCATTGTGTCAACCATAATTCAACTTGAAAAATGCCAGAAAAAAAAAGGAAAAGAAGAAAAAAGAGTTCCTGGTAGAGGGGGAGGTCACTAGCGACCAGTGGTGCAAAGGCCAAAGAAAACAAGGAACAAGAGTGTCAGTTTCCAATTCAAAGCTCATTGATGGTGGGGGCACCTGGGTGGCTCAGTCAGTTGGGCGTCTGACTTCGGTTCAGGTCATGATCTCACTGGTGGGTTCGAGCCTCACGTTGGGCTCTGTGCTGATGGCTCAGAGCCTGGAGCCTGTTTCGGATTCTGTCTCCCTCTCTCTCTGCCCCTCCCCTGCTCATGCTCTGTCTGTCTCTCCCTCTCAAAAATAAATAAACATTTAAAAAAACTCATTTATGGTATCTCTTTTATACTTTTACTCATTTTTCTTGATGGATTCTTTTTTTTTTTTTTTTTTTTGCTTTTGGATTCCACACGGATAGCTTTCGTAGTCACAACAACAACAACCACAAAATTCCTAAGGATCTTGAAGAGGTAAAACCCATATGGTAAAGGCCCAAGAGACACTACGGCACTGGGAGACACAAGCAATGATTGTGGACTGCTCCTTGAGAAGTTCTACAACAAATAGAAGGAGAAAGATAGTTCAAGCTAAGGCCAGAGCTAAGGGGAAGGCTGCAGTGATGCCCCAGAAACCTCCTACCTCTGGGAGAGCTGCTTTAAATTTTCAGAGATTATGCACACTTCTTGTTCAACTGGCTTGACACACTCCCACGGTGGATGTGTTTACACTGCAGACATCGGCAAATGCTACCGATCAACCACCTGCCCTCACACCCAGCCGGTTGTGAAACCCTTCACCTCTGTGAAGATGGAGAAGGTAAGCATGTTTCTACACAGGGGGATTGAAAAGTGGGTTACGGTAGAGAGATAGGAGTTGGGGGTAAGGGAGAGGAAGGAGATACAAGGTTTAGGGAGGTCCAGGCGTCACGGAGCCAGGAGGGGATATGGAGGCGGTGGAGGAGGCAGGATTGTGAGGACGGGATGTTGGAAGCATCACTACACGGACTCAGAGGAGAGAGTTCAGAAATTCCCTGACCTACCTGCCTCAACTGAGCTAACAAGCACCCCCTCCATATCTCAGCAACTGAAGGAAATTAGGTCAAATGACAACAACAAAGCCCCCGAGAGGTATCCTTAAGGAAGAAATCATTTTAACTGACGATGGAAAGCCACGCCTTCGTTAGGGTATTTCTTTGGGTTATTGTGTTTAATGCCTTAGAAGTTTCATCATTGCCGCTGCTGAGACTTGTGATGGTAACCCCTGTGTTTTAGAAGATCCCTCAATCCCGTTACCCAAGAGAGCAGCTCAGTCATCCCAAGCCAGAACTGGGCAAGAAAGCACATTATGAATTTGGGGAAACACGACCCCCCAGATACAACGCACTCTGTATCTCCTTACTTAGGAAAAAAGGAACAATCCAGCTGAACACAGCCACCATCACTGGAATCTGAGGCTAACGTGAAACTTACCTCTGTGGGGACTGTAACCCTAAAACCAGAGCTGAAGTTTCTTTTCTCAAATAAGATGTTTGAGGTTTGCTCTTTCCTGATACTCCTGTGATACATTCCTGACCTTTCGGAATTTTTATTTAATTTAAAAGGAGTTACAACAGAGGTACGTCTTATCCTAAACATATTTACCCTTCATTATAGGTTTTATTAAAGTTCTGTGTAGGTACACACACGCAAGGAAAGTTCAAGAAGGATGGGAGAGAGAGAGAGACAGAAAGACAGAGGGGAGGACGGAAAAGAGCATGCTTGGCCCGCGCTTGGGTCCCGGAACCAGGTGTGATTTAAGCGTTCCGTGATGACCCACTGTCACATCTCTCAGGGCCCCTGCACTCGCTGTGGAAAACAACAGAATTTCACAACGTTTCAGGGCTGCTGGTGGGAGAAGGCGACCAGCTGCTTCCTTGCTTAAGACGACAGTCCCACAGGCTCCCTTGCAAATGTCAGAAATGTCAGACCTACTCCCAGACAAATACCTCAGGAAAGGCATTCTCAGGGCAGCTGAGGACACTGGTTCTGTTCCCTCGTATCAATAGTGCCTTTGACTAATGCACTTGGCTCTCGGCTGCTGAGACTTCCAGTGGGGAATGCTTTGCAACTCTATATGGTACATCATCTGGCCCATAAATAAAAACCCGCTTTTCTTTCCTTTGAGGATAAACAGTGTCGTCAATGGACTGGAGCGGGGTGGGAGGGAGGGTGTCGGGTGGGGGCTGTGCAGTTCTCGAAGTAAGACAGAGCCCGAGAT